AAAGGTCAATAGGGGCACAGGGCAGATTTTAGACATTTTCTGAGGACATGGTCTGACGGAGCGACTGAAAACGCTAGTCCGCCTGTGTGTACAGCTACACCCGACTCATTTACTACACTCAAACCTGTATATAACGACCACTCAAAGTAAACAAGGACAGCGGTAATTCTAAAGAGTTGGTTTCTCTATATTGCTGCCACTTGCAGCCAAAAGTGGCCTTTGCAGATCATTATGAGAATACCTTCGGGACGAGGAATTGCAGCGTGCTCGTCTCCGTACCACCCCACGAGGTCGATTCGATCATGAAGCCCTTGACGCACTTGAAGACGAGTTCTGCGCGCTTCAGGCACCACGGAATTGTCATCTCCTAAACATGATCGGTAGTAGAAAGATTCATGCAGATGCAACAAAGAAGATGTACAGCCTACGTGCGTGCTTTCAGGCCACCACCACACACGCTCTATAATATACACTCTATTATGTGTGGATAATTGCATACACGATTGCAATATTGAACGAGTGCTCTACTTTGCGAAAAACTTTGCGTTGACTTTTTTCTCATGGGCCGTTGACAGAAACATTGTAAAGTCTCTGATATGCAGTGTATAGTAGAGGTCCGGTCTATGAGACAAAGTTAATGTTAAGACTACTTTTGCATCTGATAATAGGCCAGCAATAACTGGATACTGGCAACAACATCCAGAGGAGGTAGGCGTTGTTATCGCGCTTAGATGGACATGAGAATCCACCTCCGCTGTGTGCTTAAAGTGATTACGTCACCGTAAATAGTAAAAATAAAAATAAAATTTCCACTTTTTCACAAAATAAGTAATTCTGTTCACTTTTTATGGTTAAATTGCTGTATTATACTTCCTGTTTTACTATAATTATTGTTTGATGTGAACATACACTCGTGACTCATACATAGCCCATAGCAAGCAATTAATGTCAGGAACATATAATATCAAATCGTCCCGGTTTTTTAGATTTTTAACTAGTTGAGAAACAATCTTATCAGGTAAGAATTTGACGATATGTTTAGTCCCCGTTAGTTCTTACTTTTAATGTCAAAAAATGGCAACAAAATTTGTACAAATTTTACTGAAGAAAATTCGTGACGTAGTCAATTTAAAGCCTTTATTTCGACGTAATCTCGTGTTTTCCCCACTTTTACGACGCTTACCGTTATCGCTTGAGTAACAGCAACTGTCTACAGTAATGATAAAATGTCTCAGAACCTTCGTGCTTAGCTATATTCTCCAAAACATGCACGATTCCAATTTTAATTACTCATTTTGATTACCGCCGCCATTTTTTTCCTCAACTGCGCACTTAACACATTCTCACGCGTTTACCCATAGATATAGAATACAGAT